AAAATAAAAAAACTCAGTGACAGACTCAATAGAATAGAGATGACAGCCAAGAATCAGTGAACTTGAAGACAGATCCATAGTAATTATCTAATCTGAACAACAGAGAAAAAAATGTTTAAAAAAATGAACGGAGCCTGAGGACCTATGAGGCAGTATCTAATTCATGTCATCAAAATTCCAGAAGAGTTTGTAAAAGAAGTATTTGAAGAAATAATGTACGAACATTTCCCAAATTTGACAAAAGACGTAAGCCTACAGATCCAAGAAGGTCAATGAGCCCTAAACAATGACCGAGTGAGGTGAGGGAATAAAGGCCCAGCCATTAGGCCTGACGCGAGACAGCTCTGAGGTGAGAAACCAGCTGCAGCCCTCCTGCCGCTTTGATCAAAGCTTGGTTGGGCCTCTTTGACTTCTTCCTCTGCCCTTCCCTTCTTCCTGTCCCCTTCACAGATCTGATCTGTAATAAACCTGGCACCCCACACTCTATCTCAGTATCTGCTTCTGGAATACCCAATCTGTAACATCAAAGCAGACAACAGAAGTACAGAGCAGAGACCTGAACCCAGACAGCGCAGATCCAGAGTCCCTGTCCTCAGTGGCAACCAGAGGCAGGTTTGCCGTGAAGCTGAAGCTTCAACGCCCCTAATTTGTGCAAACCCTTTCTGAGGCCCTCAGGATTGGGAAGATGGGTGAGCCTAGCAATGTTGCTATATGAATTTGCAAAATTTGCCCCAAAGAGCTGTTTTAACCACAACTGGTTATGTTACCTCTTTCCACTCTTCCTCTCAGCTACACTTTCCCTCCTAACACATCTGCTGTTGGAGAGAATGTACAAATGGCCGTGGACTCTTCTTTGCAACTGAGTAGTCATCTCAGCCTGCTTTTTGCCCACAGAGGTTTGGGGGTTATAGTAGGCAGAATAACGCCCCCCTAAAAATGCCCATGCCCTAGTTCCCCAAACCTGAGACTTTGGGGGTGTGATTAAGTTAAGGATCTTGACATGGGGAGATTACCCTGGGCTAATCTTGGTGAGACTGGTGTAATCACAAAGGTCCTTAAAAAGAGTCAGAGAAGGAGATGTGACAGTAGAAGCAAAGTCAAATAGAAATTTAAACATGTTACGTTGCTGGTTTTGAGGATGAAGGAAGGGGCTACGAATCAAGAAATGCAGGCAGCTCATAGAAACTGGGAAAAGCAAGGAATAGATTCTCCTCCAGAGCCTCCAGAAGAAACAGCCCTGCTGACGCCCTTGATTTCAGCCCGGTGAAACCCATGTCAGACTTCTGAACTCCAGAAATGTAAGATAATAAATTTGAGTTGTTTCCAGTCACTAAGTTTGTGGTTATTTGTGACAGCAGCAATAGGAAACTGATACAGGGGTTTGAAGGCATCTTTTTTCCTTCTTTCCTTCCTTCCCGCCTTCCTTTCCTCCCTCCCTCCTTCCCTCCCTCCCTCCTCCCTCCCTCCTTCCTTCCTTCTTTTCTTTCTTTCTTTTTTTGTATTCTCTTTGTCTTTAAACCCAAACTCGGAGTGCTTCTTCTCATAAAATTATCTTAAAACTTTTTTTTAAAAGTGTATGTATGTATGTAATCTCTATATCCAACATGGAGTTCGAACTCACAACCCTGAGATCAGGAGTCACATGCTCCACTGACGGAACCAGCCAAGTGCCCCTCCTCTTAAAACTTTTGATGATTTCCTGTAAATCTTACTGGAATTCACTCCTTTAGACAAAAGCCACGTCTATTATTTCTTTCTGGGCCCTTCTCTAACTTGGGTTGAGAGTCAGGATGCTGTGGTACAACAGTGTTAAGATTCTTAGAAGCATTTTTGCCTAGCTGAAATAGTTTACTTTATGGGGGACACTCTTTTTTTTTAATATTTAATAACTTTATTTTTATAATTCTATTGCCTGAGGGTTTTTTAAAATAATTTTTTTATTGTTATGTTAACCACCATACATTACATCATTAGTTTTTGATGCAGTGTTCCATGATTCATTGTTTGTGCATAACACCCAGTGCTCCACGCAGAATGTGCCCTCTTTAATACCCATCACCAGACTAACCCATCCCCCCACCCCCTCCCCTCTAGAACCCTCAGTTTGTTTTTTAGAGTCCATCTTCTCTAATGGTTCATCTCCCCCTCCGACTTACTCCCCTTCATTCTTCCCCTCCTGCTATCTTCTTCTTCTTTTTTTTTCTTAACATATATTGCATTATTTGTTTCAGAAGTACAGATCCGTGATTCATCAGTCTTGTACAATTCACAGTGCTCACCATAGCACATACCCTCCCCGATGTCTATCACCCAGGCACCCAATCCTTCCCACCCCCCACCACTCCAGCAACCCTCAGTTTGTTTCCTGAGATTAAGAATTCCTCATATCAGTGAGGTCATATGATACAAGTCTTTCTCTGACTGACTTATTTCACTCAGCATACACCCTCCAGTTCCATCCACGTCGTTGCAAATGGCAAGATCTCATTCCTTTTGATGGCTGCATAATATTCTATTGTGTATACATACCACATCTTCTTTGTCCATTCATCTGTCGATGGACATCTTTATGGGGGACACTCTTAAGACCCCTTGAGGCTTTCTTGTTTACCAGGGAGACTGTAAAAGAAATGCCCTTAAGATTCTTTGAAACTCTACTAGGGAATGCCCTTAAATTGTTATAAAGTCTCAACAAAGAGTCTTTAAAACCATACTTTTGAAAGCTTTACCTGGAGGTCATGCTTTACTTGTAGCACCCGGGCTTGTTCTTTACTCTGCGTCATTTCTTTATTTGAGAAACTTTAGATCCTTGGAAAGACTGTCCTGGACCCTCTATAATTCCTCTAAATTCAGCTCTGAGCCATTCCTTCCGTGTTTTTTGTGTTTTGTCGTAGTCTGCCAGAAGAAGCTGGTTGGCACTTCATCATTCTGCCTAGAGACTTCTTTAGGCAGATTCACAATGTAATTATTAGAATGTCTTCTATTTTCACATTCCCTGCAGGACAAGGTTCATTAACTGTTCTTCCAGTTTGGAACGGCATTCAGGTGCCCTTTTCTTCAGCCTACAACAATGTTTTCCCTCCTGTCCTTCAAGCCCTCATCAACAGTCTCCTGGCGGCCCTTCCAGAATTTGCTTAACAATCGTTGTGAGGGCCTTCAAGACTTAGCCAAAGCCAATGACACATGGTTTAAGTTAAGCTCCATCTTTATTCCCTCACCTCACTCAGTGACTGCATGCAGGCTGCCCAAGGACATTCTGAAATGGCCTCAGGTAAGGTGGCTCTCTGCTGTAGGACAGATCCTAAGGAGCTGACTGCTGGAGACTCTTCTGACTGCACCCCCTCCCCGCCCCCGGAGCCATGCAGCAAGTGCCTTCCACCAAGGGGGCTCCGGGTGGTGCATCTCTGTGTCTTCCATGAGCAGTACTATGCTGGAGCTGGCTCTGATTAGCTCATGAGAGCTAATTGTTAGCTCTTTACTGGGTTCAGTGATATCTAAGTACCTTGACATTGCCATTGTGGGAGAATTTACACCATAGAAATCAGCAAGTGTCACAAATCAGGACTTTTCTTTTCCTGGAGAGCCAATTTACCAGCATACCTCTGAATGTAGTCTATGCACTAATAACGCTGAGTGCATTATTTAGCCTCTCTGTGCCTCAATCTTCTTATTTGTAAAATGGGACTAATAATACTATCTATGCCATAGAGTCAATATGAGAATTAAATGAGCTAATACATATAAAATGCTTGGACAGCGCCTAGCCACAGGAAGCACTCAGTAAGTATTAACTATTATTTTTACTGTTGCTGTTGTTATTACTGTTATTGCCACCTTAAACTTCCATTGGATTTTCATAGAAGATAGGCTAAATTTTTTAGTATGTCATTCAATGATAATATCATCTGACAGTTCCAACCACAGTTCCATTATTTCTGGAACTCAAACTATTTTTCCATCTCCAAACCTTGGTATACGTAAGTACCTTCTGCCAGGAAAGCCCATCCCTTCCTTGCCTATCATCTTCCAGACCATTTCTTTTCATCCTTTTGGACCTGCACACATTGCCTCCTCTGGGAAGCCCTCCCCACCACCTCTGCTGGGCATGGACTCCCTCCTCAGTGTTGCCATTGCTCAATGCACAACCCTCTCTTTTCCTGATAACACTTTACTGTGGTAACTTGTTTACATCTGTTTTCCCTTGTGAGTCTGGGGTTGGATGTGCTATTTCTCCGTGTCCTCAGCACAGTGATTGAGGTGCTAAATATTTGATGAATGAATGATTGAACATTGCCTGGGAAGGTGGGGAAAAGGATAAGTAGCCTAGTAGGATGATAATAATAATAATGTTTTTGCTTAAGTGACCATAGGTATGTGGTATAGAGCAATGACCTAGGACCCCAGTTTTAGGTTTGATAGGTCCTAGATTTGTCATGCAGCGACCCTAACACCTTCACCCTCTTTATACCTTCGGTCAGAATTCTGCCTTTCATGATGGCTCAGATGTCAAGTCTTCTGTGAAGTGTTTCCTTCCCTCTGTTCCTCCCCAGCTCTCCACGCTCATCGTCATTAGCAACCACATCATTTACTCTCCTGGATTTCCCCATCAGAATCCAGTAGTGTTTCTGTATTTCCACCCCGATCCAGAGGGGTGAGTATTCGGGGGATGGCGTTGTTGAGCCGTAGACCAGTGAATTCGTCCTCCCACACCCGCGCCTCTGTTTCCCCGAGCGTGAACCGGGCACCGCGGAAACACCTTACCAGGGCTGCGCTTTGGTGGAGGGCGGGCGGACCGGACCCTGAGGGCGCAGGCAGCCCCCACGCCGGCGGAGGAGCTATGGGGCAGGCGAGCGGGAGAAGGAGAGCGCCCGGAGGCTTCAGAGCAAAGAGGGAGCGGGGGGGGGGCTCGA